AGAATGACAAGTCTGAGTCTAGTCTTTACAACTAAGTAAGAACACTCCTCCCAAACACGGACAGGGATATAGTTTAGTAGCAGAGCACCTCTCAGCTCGATCCCCAGTACTGCGAGAAATAAACACAGCAATGCACTGTAACTCACTGAGTACAGCGAGGAGCACACGGTCCATCCTGACAAGAGACAAAGGACACCTTTTCCTGGTAACAGAACGCCTGCTAGTGGGTAAGACAGAGGGATTAGAAAGTAACTATTTTAGCCTGTGTAGAGGAGGCACACGCCTGTCACCCCAGCACTCTGAGAGGTCAAAGCAGGAGGAGCTAAAGTTTAAACTCACTCTGGGCAGTTTAATGATTTAGCCAGACCCTGTCTGAAAAAATAATAAGGGCTTGAGAGCTCAGTGTGAAGGCCCTGTCCTCAAGGTCCAGTACAAGGGGGGAAAGGGAGGAGAAGGGAGGAAAGGAAGGCACAAGGGAGAGGGAGGACTAGGGGGAGGGAAGGAGGGAGGGAGGCAGCTCGCTGTCTCATACCTTCTGCACTAAAGAGTCTGCAAATAAGAATCACTAATGGTATCTGGGAGTGTCCCCTAGGCCTGTAATCCCAGCACTAACACACGCAGACAAATATGGGACAATGTGAGCAACAATAGACACACACAGGATGGACATGGCGGTGCAGGATTGTAATGCCCCCTCCTCAGGAGGCTGAGGCAGGAGTATTACCATGAGATGGAAGCCAGCCCAGGCTGCATACTGAGTTCAAGGCCAGCCTGAATAACACAGTGAGACCCTGTCTCAAAGAAAACAAACAAGGGGCTGGGGATTTAGCTCAGCAGCACAGCACCTGCCTGGCAAGCGCAAGGTCATGAGTTCGATTCCCGGTACCAGAAAAAAGCACAAAAAACAAAAAACAACAACAACAAAAAAAAAGCAAAAGAAGACAAACAAACATAAAAGCACAAAATTATAATCATTAGTGAGTGCTGCATGAGGTAGTGGAGGTGTGAGCATTTGCAAATGTCACAAAAGCAGAGAACTACTAATACCCACACATCCAACCCAACAACTATCAAGACTGCGCACATTTACTTCACTTATCTCACCCCTCACTCCACAAACTCTTTTGCACATAAGTATTCTGAAACAAACCAGGCACCTCGACCATTATTCGCACTCATCCCTCAGTCTCCAAATCTGGTGATGCACACCTATAAACCCCAGCACTCAGGAGGTTGAGTGAGAAGGAGCTCAAGGCCTGCCAGGGACATACAGTGAGCAAGGCCAACCTGCATTACATAGTGAGAACCTGTCTCAAAAACACAAAAAATTAAAAATAAACAAAAAATAAAAAATGATTACCACTAAGCCGGGCGTGGTGGCGCATGCCTGTAATCCCAGCACTTCGGAGGCTGAGGCAGGAGGATCATTGTGAGTTCAAGGCCAGCCTGGGCCACCTAAGTGAGTTCAAGGCCAGCCTGAACTGCATAGTAAGACCCTGTCTCAAAAAAGACCAAAAAAAAAGAAAAATGATTACCCCTGAAAAGTGACCATCTCTATCTACCCAATCCATAGTAGATCCCCACTTGCACTTTTCCTCTAAAACACGGTCTTATTTTCTTCACGGCACATACCACTACCAGCAACTACTCTGTTTATTACGTTTTCACCCAAGAAGGTCCGCGCCAAAGCACAATGCCACTTGATGCACATTTGCTATGTGACTGATAGTAACCGAGTATCAGTAAAACAGAGCTACGTATTTGTTTTTAAATATTTGCGCTCACTACTCATCTAATGGTGTGCGCTGGTTACCTGCAGAAACCTGGGTCAGCCGTTACCAAGAATCTGCAGGACACAACGAAGAATGAGAGCATGAGACACTCAAACGTAGCTCGGGACTTTTCCACAAAAGTAACTACTGCTACCTGAAACGCAGTCGAAGTACTCAGGGTAATTTAAGGGACGCTGACTAGGAGCACTTCAGTTTCATTTTTCGTACCATCTGACAGCCAGTCAAGCCTGAGTAACTTCTACAGTGGACAGCAGTATTACCTGGGACAATAAACATGGCCATATATGTACATCACAAACACATGCTGTATTCACGTGAATATATACAATACACATATGGGCATACGCATTTAAAGTAACAGCAATTTTCTTATATAAAACAAAGGAAAAGTATGCACATACACGTGTGCGCACTTTTATGTATAAGGAATTTATATTGTCTGTATAATATTTTTTTCTGGGAACTTGATCATAATGAAGACAATGTAATTACAAATACCCAAAATACCTACCTTAAAATATAAGCCACTAAATTTGGGACCTAGCTGGGTGTGGTGGCACACATCTATAATCCCAGCACTCAGGAGGCTGAAGCAGGAGCATCACCTTCAGTTTGAGGTCAGCCTGGGCTACATAGTGAGTTCAAGGCCAGCCTGGACTACACAGTGAGTCTATGTCTCAAAAAGAAATTGGGACCTAGAGTAAACTAGAGTTATCCAGCTTACACTTCTCATTTCAGCGCTTGAGAAGCCTGTGAAGCCAAGGGAAGACTAACAACAAACAGGTTCTAGGGAGGAGGAAGGGGAGAGCAGGGGAAAGTAAAAAGAATTACGATGCATGCCTGTCATCCCAGAACTAGGGAGGCTGCAGCAGGAGGGTCACCATGAGTTTGGGGCCACCTCATATCAAGAGCCTGTCTTAGGGAAAAAAACTAGAAGAATTAAGATGTGTTCTGTACATGAGCCACAAGGAATGTAATCATTACATACTGCAAACATGTACTAATAAAAAAAAATTTTTAATGTAGGTCCAATGTCTACCAAGCAAATTGAGATCTGAAATACAGGTCTCCTATCTCTAGCTTGATACTCTTTTTTTTTAAAAATAGTGCCACCCACAAAAGCTAATGTCAAGTTATAGCATATTTTAATTACTATCCTTTTTGGTGCTATCATTTCCCCCCTCTTAAATGCTGGCCCATGGAGGGGAAGAGGTCATTTGAACAAAGGCACATATAATTACACTTTAAGTAAAGCATGATACACCAAAACCGCTCCTTAACAAAAATTAAAGAAACACCTAAAAATCTAAACAGATTCAGAGTCTTCTACCCAACATTTTTAATTTGAAAGCAAAAATAACTACCTAAGAGTACTTGCTAAGTGACTATTCCTTTGCTTTACACAAGAAAACGGCTGTTCCCTCATTATAAACATCAGTACTGTACAGATACACCTCAATTTTTGGTAGAAATACAGTATTAAAGTGAAATTTACGAAGTTATAATCTGTTGTACCACACTTTTTACTGAAATGAAATTATTCAGATTATACCTTTCTTCAAAACTAACTCTAGGTGGGCATGGTGGTTCACGCCCTTTGTCCCAGCACTTGGGAGGCCGGGTCAGGAGGACTCCCAGTGCTCAAGGCTACCCTGGGCTACATAGTGAGCTCAAGGCCAGTATGAACTACAAAGTGAGCCCGTCTCAAAAAAGAAACAAAAGAAAACCTCTAAAGAGGGCATAGTGGCACATACCTATAATGCCAGGACTCTGGGAAGCTGAGGCAGGAGGAGAACCGCATGTTCTAGCCCAGCCTGGGCAACCTGGCAACTTGGCAAGATGCTGTCCCCAAAAAAAAAAAAAAAAAAGCCGG